CTATCCCCCCTTTACACTTGTTTTCACTGCGGTCCAGGCCTCGTGTCATCCTGGATGTACGACACCGATTCTCTCCCTGTTTCTCATCTCCTTAGACTGGCGTTCAACTTGGTTCATTACAAATCGGACGGACAAAAGTCCGTCATGGGTTCATTACAAAATGCGAATGAAGGGTCCAGAAGATTTAGCTTGTTTTCCTTACTTTTTTTTTTTTTACGTGGCGAAGAATGACTTTGTACGATTACTCGGAATGCAGAAGCCGAAGAGATCGCGCGGGAAGAGAAGTTTGAACTCGCATCAGGATGAGTTTTTCTACAACCTGGATGATGGGCTGTTGAGTTTATGGTGAAAGGCGTGACCTGGCGTCTTCATGAGAACGGCGTGGTCAGCTTTTACGTTCAGCCGTAGCGGGTATTTCTTAAGATCAACAACTCACACATGCCTGTAGTCTTTGATAGGATGCATGTCGCTCAAGAGACTATGTGGTGGCTTTTAGGTTACGAAGAAGATGGTGTGAGAAGTGTGCATGTTTTTGACTCGGAAGCATGTCGAGAGGCCAGGTTTGTCCTTTTCCAAGCACGGCAGCAAGCACTATGCAGGGAAATCACGACGTGTAGCCCGAGTCAAGTCCATATTCGTCAACGTGGACAAAATTTGCTACGGAAAGAGAGAAGCAAGACAAGTCGAGCCGAGCCATCCTGCCGCCCCGGGCTCCCAATGCCATGACCATCATTTTCCAGCGAACCACGCCATGTTTTTCTTCTTTGCCGTCAACTCACCAGCCCGTCCGTCCAAACCCGCCCGCCCGCCTCGTTCCTCTGTCCCATTCCTCCCACAAAGGAAGAACAGAAAGCCTTTGGGCGGGGGAAAAAAAACACCACCAGGGGATATCTTGTCTCAACCGAGTCCGCAACCCAGCGAAAAAGGAAACAGAAAAAAACACGTTGGAAAGAAGAACCAGAAAACACCATGTCGCCGCCCATCACCTCTTGGTCTTTGCCTCTCGCCTTTTTTGTTCCCCATTTTTAGCTGCCACCGTCGGGGGAAAAACAAAAAAAAAAAAAAAAGAGCCTGCCGCCGTTCACGTGCCTCAATCCACGCGCCGTCGCTTCAGGTCCCGCGGGCTGCCGTCGTACCCAGCCAGCTCGTCCCGCGGAATCTCCTCCGTGCCCGCCGGGCTGGGCGTGTTATGGCCCGTGCTGCCCACGTCATGGACGCGGCCCGCGGCGCCGGGCGTGAGGCCTGAGCCGGTGCCGGGAGCGCTGGTGCCGGCGGCCGCGGCATTGTTGGCGTCGAGCAGGCTAAAGTCGAATTCGGGGGCGTTGGCGGCGTTGAAGTCGAGGCCAGAGAAGGGTCCCGTGTCATTGAAGGCGTCCGAGTCGAGGTACTGGTCCAAGTCGAGGCCGGCATCGATGGCACCGTTATCGAAATAGTTGTTCGTGTTGTCCGACTCATCGAGACCCGGTATGCGGCCCGAAGGGCTCAAGGGGCCGAGCATGCTCTGCAGGTGATGGATCTTGTCCGTGTTGTCCTGTGACATGCGACGCAGGGCGTCCAGTTCTTCGCTGTTGTAATTGATGCTGCTGAGGCTCGGCGGTTGCGGGTTGGATCCCATGACAGGAGACAGGGAGAAATCGGGCGCGGTGGCCTTGGAGGCCGAGTCGGTTATGTTGGCAGTGGGGAAGGAGGGGGTGGATGCGTTGGGGCCGGCGGCGGCGGGGATGCCGCTTGACGGTTGCTCGGAAGTTTGCGCCATCATGTTATTGAGCATTTGCTGGCGTTGGTCGTTGGTCATTGTCGTGGGCGTGTTGGCGACAACGTCAGGAAGGTCAACTCCTGTCGTATTGTTGTTGGCGTTGGTGTCTTGGATGATCTTCATCATGCTTTCGTGGGGGTTTGACTTGAGCTCCTGCGCTAGGTAATCGGGAGAGTTGGTGTTGTCGGGAGTATCAAACAGCTCCGTAACCGAGCCAGGCTCAGGGTTGTGGTGGCCAAACGTCTGCGGTGTCGGGGCCGCTGACGGCGTCGAGGAGACGGTGCTGGCGCGGCCGGCGTTGCTGTTAGGGATTGGTGGCAGTAGACCCCTCGCCCGCTTCGGGGCGGCCATGCCGCTCGGGCCGTTGGTCTGCGCCTGCACGAAATCGCCCAAGTCCACGACGCTGCCCTGGGGCATCGTGCCGTTCATGGACCCAGGGATGATGCTCGCGAGCAGCTCGTTGACGTTCTGTGAGCCGTTCTGGTCTTCCAGCGTCTTCCTAAAGACATTGGCAAGGAAATTAAGGATGGCGTTGATCGAGTTCTGATGGCGGTCGTGCTGCTCCTGGAAGACGGCTGCCTGCTGATATAGATTCCCATTTTCTCGCTGTATGCGGTTGATGGCGCCGAGGATGATCTTTTGCTGATCTCGAACCTTGGCCAGCTCTTCCCGAATCATGGCCATTTCCTTCTTCTCCAGTGGCATGTTGCTCTGCGGCAGGGCTCGCGTGGTTTGCGCGGCAGCCGGGATGTTCAGACCCGAGGGCAAGTTCTCGTCAAAGCCCACCTCTTCCTCGCTCTCTACTTCGCCTTCTGGTGCCTTCGCCTTCTTGTTGCCGCCCTTGCCTCCGCCATTCTTGGGCTTGTTGATCAGCCATAGCAGATTAGGGTGGCCTCGTCGAAAGTACGGGTTTGAGTACTCGCTCGGACTCTTGTTTTTGCGCTCACTCGCGCGCATCGAGTTGTCCGACAGACCGACTCGTTTGTGAAAACCGTACATGTTGAGCTGCCGCACAAAAGATGCATAATTGTTGTGTTTGAAAAGCTCGGGTATCAGCGTCTTGGCGAATTCGTCCTCATCGAGAACGATGAACGAATCGCCCTTGTCAGACCATCTGATCAGGTCGACGTTCTTCTCCTCATCGAGGAAACTGCGTCAAGTCAGCGACATGGTTTAGAGAAACGGGCTGGAAGGCAAAATCTCACCTGCTGAGCTTCTGGACAAAGGGTGGAATTTGTTTCCTCTTGGATTGCGACTCGCGCTTTGCCTTTTGGGCAGCCTCTTCAAGCGCCTCAATGCTATCCTGCTCGTTCATGGCGCCATTGCCCGGTTGCTGGATTAGCGAAGAGGAGTCGTCAGTCGCATAGCCCCACGGGTCGGCGTTTGGGTCAAAGTTGCCGCGCTGGGCGGTGGGAACCAGTGCCCGGTTCATCTGCCGCCGTGCGAGAGCATTGTTGGGACCAGGGGTCGGATGCTGACCGTAGGGCTGTTGTGATTGCTGCGATGACGGCTGCTGCGACTGGGGGGGCATCATGCCATACGAGTTCACGCCCTGCGCCGTGCCGTCGACAAAGCCGCCGGCATCTGCGCTGTTATGCCACCTCATCAAATCGTTGGGTGTCGGACTCGGGAATTGGTTCGCCATCGGAGGGACGGGGATGGACGGAGCGGTACCAGGTGCAGGGCGTTTTCGAGGGTTCGATGGAGACATGGAATTGTACATGAAGCTGTCGATGTACGTCTCGGAAAGCGATGTGAGGTTGACCAGGAACGCGGCGATTTCGTGGGTACTGGTGCGCAGCCTGGTTGAAGCCTGCAGCCTCACTGGCAGACGCGCAGGCGGGTACCGCGGAGTGCCTCGAAGCCTCGTCGGTGTCTTGCGGGGGTTGCGGGCGGACGATGATCGACCTGCGAAATGCCACAACCTTCTCTTCGTTGCTAGTCTTGTCGTGTGGTCGTGGAAGGAAAAAATGCGTTGCGCCGCGGGCAGGATGTGTCGCCGAAGTTCTTGCAGAAAGTCGTGGGGGGAGATTCGTCGATCCAGCACTTGGTCGATGACGTCTCGTCTAATAATCGTCTATGTGTTTCCTGCGTCACGTCTGTAGAGAGCAGATTGTGTCGTGCTGCTGTAGTCTTTTGTGAGACACTGCGCATGCAGGATCTTCAGATTGTTCGCTTTGATGAAGATGTCTACTTACTGCTCAAAGCATTCGCGACAGTGTGTCGCGTATGCTTACGAGCAAGAGATGCCTGTTGAAGCGATAGTCGCTAAGGGCCAGGAGGGGTTGGCGCCAGAATAAGGACGGATGTCTCGGCGAGAAGGTGAAAGGCCTGCGTGATGCCTGGATCTGGAGTTTGGGTTGAAGGGTCTCGACACGATGTCGGTCAGCCCGTTCTGCGGTCAATGGCTGCTCAGCAAGACAGTGGGTGTGGGTGGGCTGCAGCGAGGTGTTGCAGTGCAGCTTCTGGTGTCGCGCCTGTCAGGGTGCCAATAAAGGCCTGTGCCGCACAGGAAAGGGCTGTTAAGGCAGCGGTCAGATGAAGGCCAACAGCTGGAGAATCTGTGCCAAAGAAACAGAGTGTCAACTGCTCAAGGCTGTCGAAGATGTTTTCGGTCGTGACGTGGCATGAGCACCAGGAACTGGAGCTGTGCTGGTCCGCCGGAGGAAACACAGGCTGGCAAAGTGGTGAGATGGGGTGAAGGCGCGCCCGCTAGACGGGCAAAGGCACCGGGACTGTCAGTTTAGGTGCTCCATGCGCTGGTGGCCGCCCGTGGCCTCCGCTGTGGGACATTGTAAAAGCGTCCGGGGGCCAGAGTCCCTCCCACTAGGCCTTGGCGACCATGGGAAATTTCATCCAATGACATACAATGGAGGGCCATGTCATCATCCCTACCTTCGCCGTGGGCGCCGCGGAGGTTCGCATTGGGAGAGATGGATGTTACCCCACTGTGGACGCTGAGGATAGGGACTTTACGCAAGCAGCAGTCTCGATAACTACATATTGAATTGTTCTAAACAAAAACACGAAACAATCGCCAGCAACCCGTTGACGAGGGTCTGCAGCTCTGACAGCAAGTCAACAGCTTTCTCAACCGATCAACTATAGAGGCCTGAGCTGCTCTCGAGGCCGCCAGCGCGGCCATCCTACAAAATGCGCAAGGGAAAAAATTCACTTGGGAAGGCCCACATCGTCATAGCATCATCGTCAGTAACCCCCCATCCTCACGACGTCATCCGTGCTTCAGAAAATGCCCTCTAGGGTGGAGTCTCTCGATTCAAGCTGGGTGGAGCCTCAGATGAAGTTGGCACTCTCAAGCCCTCAACTCCACGGGTATCATCATTGTGTTGGCGACGAACACTATCACTACAGCGGGCGGCCATCCATCCTATCGGGCCCCTCGGCCCGCCAGTGCAGATGCCTTGGCCATTTTGGCATTCCTTGCCTGATCCCATTCCCTGCCAGTCTTGCCCGACCGAGCTTCCCTTTCGGCTTTCTTCTCCTCCTGGAGGGTCCGCGCCTTGGCCCGCGGATCGATCACCACGAGCTCCTCCTCGGCCTTTTTGCGGTAGCTCAGATCCTTGCCCAACTTGTCCGCCTTGAAGCTGAGGGCCTGTGACATCCAACCCTCGTCGTCGCTCTCCTCGTCCTGGCCGGCCTTGTCCCAGGCTTTGCAGCTCTGGCAATTGACAATAAAGTGAAGATCGCAGAGTTCGGTGTCCTCATCATCGCCGCTTTTTGCGACCTTGTCGTCAATGGCTTCGTCCGGCTTTGGCCTTTGCGTCATCTCCTTCCCTGCTGGGACCTGGTCGAGTTTTGATTTGAAGGCATTCAGCAGGTCCAAGGCCGCCTGGTCCTCCCGCGTAACCGTGGTGCCCCCCGTCCTTCGTTTCCTGCCCCTGACAGAGGTTTCTGGAATCATATTTTCGAGTGCTGATTTCTTTTTCGCTTGTGGCGCCTGCTCCGTCTGGAAATTCCGTTTCATGGATGCCTTAAGCGCAGCAATCTCTTCGTTGGCTTTCTCCAATGCTGTCTTCTGTGGCCTCTCCTCAGGCTCTGGAGAAGATTCAATCTCCATCTTGACAGGAAGCCTTTTTGGTGGTGGTGAAGCCTTCTTGGCTTGTGGTGTGTCCTCCTCGTCCGATGTGTGTAGTTCGGTTGTCGGTGCAGGTTTACGGTTCGCGGCAGCCTGATGAGGCTGTGACTTGGCCGTCTTCTTGCCCTTCTTCTCGGTCTTCTTATGTTCCTCCTCTTCCAGGTCCATCACTATTCTCGTGTCGAATTTGGGCTTCTTAAACGCGGGAGTAACCTCGCCTTCGCCCTCCTCGTCACCGAAGCTGAGGAGCTGTTTTCCGCCTTTCCTTTTCTTCTTGCGCTCTACCACGACAGTCTTCGGGGCTTGAGCTGCCACGCGCGACCGCTTGACCATGTCTTCGAAGGGGTTGACCAGGATCTCCACACTTGTAATCTTGACTGGGTAGGTCGGCCGATCTGTGCCGGGCGTGACCTCGCCTTCGCCCATCTTGGCCAGGTTGTAGATCGTGTCACCCATGATGCGCCCAAACAGCGTGTTCTTGTTCGTCAGTTCTTCCGTCTGGTCGAGCGTGAAGAAGAACTGGCTGCCATTGGTGTCCGGTTTGCTCTCGTTGGCCATGCCTAAGAGGCCTCGACGGTTGAATTTCAACCTCGAGTGGAACTCGTCCTTGAAGCACACGCCGGTAGGGCCGGCGTTCTGACCCCGTCGCTCGTCCATCGGCCAAGGGTCCAGCTCATCGCTGAATGCCCCGCCGTCGTAGATCGACTCGCCGCCATTGCCAGTGCCTGTCGGGTCGCCACCCTGGAGAATGAACCCCGGGATGAGTCGATGGAAGATTGTGTTGTCGTAGTAGCCGTCGAGGGCGAGCTGCAGAAAGTTGCGGCATGTGAGGGGGGCCTGCTTCGCCCAGAGCTCGACGGAGAGGTCGCCCTGGGTCGTGTGCAGGATCGCGGATGCCGTAGGCTGTGGCTCGAGGTTGTATATGGCCGACATGGTGTCGGGCTGCGGGCACGCGCAGTTGTAGGCTTGAGAACGTGGTCCTGTGCAATCGTTTGTATGCGCAACGAGGTTCAAGTTTGTCAGTCGTGCGCTCGCTGCTTGGGAGCTTGCCTGTTTCCTAGCTACGTGGGTGGCCCAAGCGTCCAGCGCGCCGCTTTGAGATTCTATCGATACAGTCACGTGGATGTGATAGCCTCAACATCATCAACGTTGTCACTGAAGGTTTTGAATAGAAACACTACAGTAAGAGGCACTGTACTCATGCAAATGAAATGACCCTGATGTTTGACCTCATGTTTCACCTCATTTTTCTATCCATGAGGGGGAAACCATGCTTTGCCTCGCTCTCGTTGATCCCGACACTACATACTTCATTGCGAACGTCACGCTCGACAGCACACTCGATTGTGGGCAAAATGTATAGTTCGCTCTGCAAAATTCAAGCTTTCTATCTAAATCTGATCCCCAGCTTTTCGCTGATAGCTGGTACTGGTTGCCTGAAGTGGTATTTCGAAGGGTGCCCAAGGTCTGCAGATGTGGAAAGAGGCTTCGTCATGTCGTGAAAGCCAAAGGAAGGTACCCAACCTTGGTTGCCTCAGTGCTATCTCCGCAAGGAGTGCTAGAATCATATAAACATCTTTGAAAATTGTCTCACAAACTCATAGAATAGCTGTCGAAGATGGCATCCGATCGATTGCAACACCTTGCTAGGCTATCTTTTACCTCCCCGAGATATTGTCCATACTTGACCGATCCCTGAGGCTTCATCCGTTCTCTGCATCCCGATGCCGACTTCAACATCTGCGACGGAGGCGCAAGATTCTGGCGCCGAAATGGTCACCTCGGTAACAGAGAGTTCAGAAGCTGCAGTCATCGAGGCAGCCGAAATATTGATGAACATGTCGACGGGCACTCAGCCTGCGACATCGCCTTACAGCAACCCCTGCATCTTCTACAAAAGTCAAGATGATGGACTATACCGACTCTCGACCACGAAGGCGCTTCAGCGCATAGGGCGCAAAAGTGCCAGGACCTACAATATCGATACCCTTGTCGGACGCGACGGCAAGGTGTTTGGCATCAACGCTGCTTGCAGAAGCTGCCGCGAAGTTCTCCATAATGATGCATTCAATGTTATTGATGATGAATCTGCCATCGAAACAACAGCATTGTTCCTGCTTGAAGAGTTTCGGCACATGGGACCGCTTTCGGACCGAGAATGGAATAGACTCGGATCACTGGCAGCTTGCGATGAGGGGGTTGAATACGAGACCAAAGGGAATGATGGACGTCAACCACTAAGGGCGTTGTTAGGACTGCCATCAAATGACAGCCCTTTCATCCTGTCTCTTAACGCGGATGGCAAGTGCGTTATCATCCAGTCGCTAATCTAGTGCTTTCCTGTCCTGCCGTCTGCTCCGCCGGCCCTCCCGAGCTCTGCTTCCACGAAGCCCTTTCCATCCCAACCAACGACGCCCAACCACAGCCTTAAGACGAGTATCATGTGAGGCAGAGCACATACCAGCGAAATAAATGAGTCGAGCTGAAGTCTGGACGGTCGGGTACCACGCACAACTGCATCGTCTGCGCTACATCAGCAAATGCACAGTATCCTCCTTCAAACCTGACTAACTTGCTCCGACATAAAAAGCGAATACCACACATATATTCACTCCCACCATCGCCATACGGGGCACCGGACGCCACGCTAGAGACGCCTGAAGAAAGGCAGTGGCAGTGAGACTAAAGGCAAGGCAACGACCCTAAGGGGCAGACGAGCGAATATGAAGCCCAGAATAACAGAGGAGCTCCGCGAAGAGACCTTCATGAAGCTCAAGAGCACCATTTCCAACGAAAATGTCCTGCCGCTGATCATGAGTGCCTGCCTCATTTGCCGCGATCATGCGAATTAGACCTAGACGCAGCTGGCGTCCCAACCGGCACAAGAAATAGTCATGTTGGGTAAGAAGACCCAGGGGGGCTCACTTCGAGTCGATCCGTCGCAAGACGTTCAACGCAGTGATGGCCGGCTGATTCAAGGCGGCGAAGAAGGTTTTCCGTAAGCTACGCTTCGCCTCCCTGGACAGCATGTAATCTGATAGCAGGAGCCGAGGCCCGAAATCATGTGAGGTTCCTGCAGGAGGTGAGAGCGTTTGGATCGGATTGCGAGCCGAAGCCGGAGCTATGTAGAAACCGGACGACCGCGAAGCCAGGAACAAGTGCTGAGTTGGGAAGAGGAAAGATGGGAGATGGGAGGCAGACGACAGATCAGTCAGATAAGACGCATGATGTAAAGACAGAAACACACCGGGGAGACACGGAAAATCGTCAACAAGGATCAGCAATGCTTGCCATAAATTGTGGATGCTCTATCGTGTTTGGTTTTCCCGCTCTAGTCTTTTTGTCTCATCTGTGGCTTCTATCTTAGCAAATGTGTTCGCACAATGAATGGGAACACAAGAGTGGCATCTGCATAAACCTGATCATTTGTCAGTCGACTTCCACAGCATGTCAAAAGAGCTTCGTACCTTGACAGCATCTGCGCCGACCTTGATCTTGCCCCAGGATACAGCCTCGTCGGGCCTGGCACCGGCATCGCTGCCGTCGAACTCCTGGCCGGTATTGATGTATACGGCAGACTCGGCGCCATTGCGCATAAGACAGGCATTTGCAATGTGATGCTTGATGACGCCGCCGCCGAGGATGATCATGCCAGCACGCTTGGCGCGGACCGAGATGGTGTTGATCTTGCGAATGTCCTCCACAATATCGCATTTCAACTGCTGCGGAGATGTCTTGAAAGTGTGAAAGTAAAGCATGTCGCCCAGGCTACCGTCTGTCAGCGCGGGGCAGAAGACGGGAATATCGTTCTTCCAGGCCCAGTAATAGACGGATCGCTCATCGTTGATCTCCTTGCCGAGGCGGTTGATCATCTTGGACGGGGTCCAGCTGATTTCTTCCTCGGACCCTTTGCTGGCTTCCTGTTCCTCGAGCATCTTGTCGAAAATGGGCACGACCCAGTCCTCAAACTCGCGGTAGTTGGAGTTCGGCACGACGAGGTTTCCGATACGATTCAGCCCCTTTTTCCGCAGTCCCGCGCCTGATTCAGAAAAAGGAAGACATGTATGTGTCGCCCAGACACTTGATGAAATCCTCCTCAACGCCCCCTGCGGTCGTCACAACAGCGGAGACATGCTTGTGCTTGACGAGCCAACGGAAGACGCCTCTCATGCCGGACGATATGAGGTTCGAGGTGTAGCCCAGAAAGATGGTGGTTTTGTCGCCCGTCTCCGGGTCTCTCCACGCCCTCTGTCGCTACGTCAGCGACCGCGAATGAACTCAAAGGCAAAGAGCCCCCCCAAAAAATCAAAAAATAATCCTACCATGTCATTGATGATCCTGATGGCGTCTGCGAGAGATGTTGCCTGAAAACCCATGTATCGCATGCCGCGCAACAAATCGTCGGCTGTGATATCGCCATCTAGGTCATCGAAATCCAATTCTTGAACCTTCTGTGCCCCCTCAGGCATTTCCTCGGAAACCACCAGCACTGCATCTGTGGCTGCCGCCGGAGGAGCGTTGCTCTCGGTCGAGTTCATGATGAAGGATGGTCGTCGGACCAGGGTACGATGTTTGTCCCAGGGTCTGTCTGTCTGATGGATAATGGTGACTTGATCTTGCCGGTGCAAGATGCGCAATGCTCAAGTGACAGAAGTTGAAAATTCCAGGGACTCTGCTCTCTAAAAAACGCACCAGATCCGGATCTACCGTATTGAGAGCCCTTCTGGTGTCTTCCACTTGAGTTGTCGCGTCATGTGAAGAGTCGTCAACGTTGAGAAAGACTCACTGCACAGACTTTCAAGAGGTACGTACCGACCGCACGATGCAGAATGCAGAACCGAAAACCCTACCACTAGATGGCCAGGCACGGATCCGCGACTCGTGCAAGACTCGCCCGGGGAAGAAGTGGAGACGCACAAGCCACCTGGATGTACTGCAGTACCATCGAATCTCGAATTGCGGCGGCCCCCCTCTTACCTAGAGGCTGAAATGCCCTGAACTGCCGGGATAACCGCCTGACTGGCCGAACCTAACAAGCCTGGGATGCGACCAGGTGGGCTCCGCCGAGCTCGTTTCGAGGACCGCTTAGGCGCCCCTGGTCAGCGTCCTTCACGCTTTGCCCTTGCCTGCGCTCTTTGCGCTTTGGGCACTGAGGGCCTGGGCACTGAGGGCCTGGGGACTGAAGACTGAGGACTGCGGACTGAGGACTGAGGACTGGCGACTGAGGAAGGAGGAAGGAGGGAGCCTTGTGGCTGCTGCCCCAATTGGTGGCGTCTCCACTCTCTGATCTGTGGCCAGGTGCGATCCATTGGTCCTTGGTCCATGGTCCCTGCCTGGATCAATCTGAAAGAGAACGCGAACCCAGGTAGGCCTAGTCTCTCGCTGCGGCGCCCGTGCCACTGCCAGCACCGGCCGGACAGACCACTGAGTGTCTTCAATCCTTCAATCCTTCAACATCCAAATCTCCATACACGCCAATGTACACCACCCCTCCCGGCCAGCACAGTCACCTTAGCATGCCGTGAAGCACGACGTGATTCCCATCGTGAAGACGCCCTGTGACCAAGGCACGAGAACGACGTATCGTACACGCGCATCCCATTACGGCCAACGCGACCCTTGCGCAGGTGTAGATTCGACGTCTGTTGCTGTTCCTCGACAAACGTACTGGTGGTCGACACCCAAACCTAAACCCAGACTGCGCCGTATCTCCAGCCACGTTCACTTCCGCGACTGCATCCACGGCCATCACGGATGGTGTTGAAGTTTATAGCAAGGGCGTCTCGAGGGCAGTAGCCCGCCCGGAGCCATGTGAGCATTACCTCCACCCGCACCTTGGCAACCCATGATGAGGATCCGCGTCGCAACATCCGATATCCAGCCCCGGTGCTGTTCATGTTCTCTTCGCGCGCCTCAGTCTCTCTGCAAAGACCCGTGGCCTATGCCACGTGTATCAATGTAGTACCGTGTGCCATGTTTTCCCCTAATACTTACACGTCTTCTAGGAATCCAACAAGATACAATTCACGATACGACGGCGATCGCCGGGTCTCGATCACCTGGTGAGCGTTCGGAGCGCTACGAGCGAGGGTTCTCAGTACAGCGACGGCGATAGGAGGCGATCATCAGCCGAGACGCGCTCTGCTTTCAGCTTTCCAGAACAATCGCGAGCCG